ACTCTTAGGAGGGCGCTGAGCAAAACTGAGGCGGAGGCATTCTTCCTGTTAAATGAAGCAGCCGTTAAGCCACATATGGAGTGTCGTGTTCAAGCCTCGTCACCACACCTCCGGAGTGACATCAGGTGTATAGAAAAGCTTCCGAAACTTGCCACCACGATGATGGAACGTCAACGATGGAAGTCGCACGAATATCGTCTAAGGATGAGGACATCAGGAATGGTAAATGGAAAAGTGCAATCCGTTTCCATAACCTTCTCACCTATGGCAGCGGCGCCACATCACTCTCACATGTAGGGTTACAAAGCACAAATCGTGCTCACTGCCGCGAATTAATTGCATCTGTCTTCCCTTAACAGTAGGTTGCAGGAAGCTCAACCCGTCAAGTATGTTATCCCATCCACGTAAGTCAATGCTACGCGAACCAATAAGGCGGATTCCATACCTAATATAGTTTATATACGTAACACGTGTCTCCTGGCCTCCGTGATGTCACCTTCCTCTTATACACCATGTCACGGCATCCCTATGCCTGTATTCTCGATCTGCCACACCGTCACAGCAAAGTCATCACGTGTGCACTGTTGCTAGTCATCGACATCAATCTGCCATTACACGTACTGCGTCTTTCCATTGCAGGTGCCGGTTGAGGCAGTTCCACAGTCATGGTCCCCAAGTGTTTCAAGGATCTACAAACCATTTCTCAGTGTTTTCGAATCGTGGGTAACGAGCCACGAATCAGCTCACCCACGAGGTCAGGAATAGTTGTGAATGCTTTAAACATCAAATATCTGCAGTGTGGTCACTACCCTTCGTGCCACAGTAGATACATCGAAGTCAACGAAACTCCTCGCTGTACCAAAAGTTAGTAACCTTTTGTTAACATCCCATTCCTACCTGTGGCGTGCTTACATTCCATCACCCACCTGTACTGTTTATCACCGTAACATTATGACCCGCATTAGTTTATTTCCACCAACTACTTTCCCCGTACTCATCTCTCTGTATAGTATGTACCCTGCCGTTCAGGAATGATGCCGCTGGTCGGCACCAGCCATTATAATCACAAGGACGGGGTAATGCAGTCCAATGGACTGCTGACTTTTCAACCGATGGGTAGATTGCTTGTTTCTTGGAAACAATCATGCTGCATGGTAATAGAGCTCGTAGTACACGTCCTTGTTCGGTACTACGTGAAGAGGCGCCCGGTGTTCTCCCAGTTGCCGTGACGCATCCTCAAGTTCCATAAGTGACAGTCAGCACGATAGCCCACGGTTGACGGTAACTGATGCACTGCATACCCCTCTTACCAGTGCTTGCAACTCATGGGATTACGGCCTCGCCATGAATTACCGTGGTGATTCTTGCCCACTTGCAAACTTCACCATTCCGGAGCCTCTCCCCACACGTACAGCAGTGGCCATGTGATTATTCAGTGGCACATCGTCACAGGTACCGTTGGTTTGATATAATTACTTATCTAGTAGAGTCACAGTGGTATGCCCAGTGACACGCAATAGCAGAGGTTACTGACATCTTGTGCACACAATGACGATCCTATATCACTAGTTCTTTTAACATGCCATTCACGGAGCATTGCACTTGTTAACACCATCGGGGGCATTACCTTCCATATCACACCACCTGCCCCTACTTATTGCTCAGGGTCATTCCTCAACCGACTTACATATACCGCTGAGTGGACGGTCCTATGTTTCATAACTTACCGTAACGGTAATCCTTTCTTCCAGTGGTATGTGACATCTACTAAAGTAGTGCAGTACCGCTGTCCTTAATAAATAAATAAATAAAAGTTTTATTCTCGACAAAGCAAGGCAACCTTTTTGGGCGTGATCAGTATATCGCAATATTGTACGTGATAGCATGGATAACAGCACCAATAGCGGGCGTTGTACAGATGGAGTCAGTAGTGTGAAGCCATATGGCCCAAAGGTTGCAGGAAGTCTATGTCCACAGAATGCGTGATGTACAGATAAGAATCGGATCACAAATGTGGAGTATGTTAATGAAAAATTAGTCCGATGGGGTTGTGTACACGGGGCGAGTCAGGTGAGTAAAGTATGAGGAAGAAGCTGCAAAAACATTTAAGAATAGTGGCACGTAACTGAGCGAACATGTAGGCGTGTTCGCACGAGAGCAGATATAGGCGCAGAATTTGCATAGGTGGTATCGGTGAACTTGACAATGTGTGATCGTGGCGGTGTCTTTATTGAGTGGCTAGTCACACCCGCCACGTTACAGTGTTGTTAAACCGGCATTTGTGGCTTTTTGTAGGGAAAACGCTTGCCTGACGAAGCCATACAGCGTCCTGGAACCCTGCCGACTGGTGATATGAGATTGACAAGATTGCACCTGACCGATTGTCCTGGCGGATATTTGCAGTCAAATTTTGCCAATTTAGTTCCTATGGTTGTGTAGTCTTCTTCGGAGTCAAGCGCAGGTGCTTGCAGCTGTCGAAGTCGGATGACTCAGGTGACTTGTATTGAGTTAATACGTTTGCTGGGTTCCGTTGTATCGTCAGGATTGCAAAGTGCGGGTAATATCTTTGTTCTGTGTTAAAGCCGTGTCCAGGTGAGCGTCGCAGATGTGTCCCCAAGTAATGTTATCCATATTATGGCCAGGACCGTCAAGTGCACCACTGGCAGGATGTCGTGTAAGGGCCAATGTCCGTATTCCACCACCTTCGCAGTGTTGCTTAACATGACAGAATAACAAATCTGCAGCCACTTATGCATAGTGTGTAAAGCGGCGTGTGTGTGCAGATAAATATCATCCTGACTCTAGTAGTGCGACATCATTGGTTTGGTAATTGCGCTTCCCCTGCGTAACTTTGTTGCCTTTGTATCATCTGTAACTACGTTGTGTACGTTTAATCATTATCGCGATATCCTTGCTGACCAATTGACATCATACGCTAATTTAGAGAACAGTTATGCCACCTTTCTGTACGCATCACTGAATTCATTTCATTTCATGGTGTACGTTCCAATGATTACCGGGTACTTGATATCACCTATGTAGCTGCGCTGGATGTGCATGTTGACAAGGTGCCTTATTGTTTCTTATCCACTATCTCGTCCACACTAGCTCAATGAGGCAGTTGGTCGTTCCTGGACGTGACGGGGTAAACGGTCCTTGTGGCCGTGTGAGGCTCGATTAGCGGTTCCATGCACTCAGTGTGCAGCGCACGACGATCCAGCCACCGCCTTGTGTGCACTTGACTCCAAAAATACAGTGTTTTTGTGTTTCCCTGTTAAGGAGCGTGCGCCGACTTCCTTCAGGAAACCTGCCTTCCATCCACATGCCTCCCAGGATGATTTCCGTCCTTTTACACTGTATATGGGGTGTGTAGAGGAAACTGTGGGTAGTGCAGCAATACCCACACATGGCCCCTCTGTAGGCGCATGTACCCGGTGGCTAGTCAAACCCCAACACACCTAAGTAATTCTATGCATATGTACACGAATATATAAATGCATGCAAGAAATAAATATCTGTATATATAGATAATCACACATACATATATTTACATATGTATATACATCTACATTTGTATCGATATATCTATAAACATACATACAATTATCTATCTAATCGGATATATTTATGCTCAGTGACACAAGTAACATGCTTGTAAAGGCGTGCCTCGCCTCCTCGTGAACAAAAGCTTCATTTACTTATTATCAAGTGGTACATACATATGGTTGGCGGCATCCGGTTTCGGATTTGCCTGTCACTGTGGCAAGCCACAGGACGCCTGCGCCTACAGAGAAACCATGGACGGCTTGCGCTGCACCACCCACAGCTCCAACCACACACCCCATATCCAGTGTAAACCCGAAGGAATAAGACAGGGAGGCATGCGGATGGGAACCACGTTTCATCAACGGAGCCGGCCCACACTCCTTCACAGGCAAACACAAGCACAATGTATTTGGGGAATCAAGCGCACACAAGGCGGTGGCTGGACCGTAGTCAGCTACACGCTGACTGCATGGAACCACTCTTTGATCCTAACACGGCAACAAGGACCGTGCACCCCGTACCCTCCGGCAACGACCAACTTTCTCCTGGAGCCAGTATGGACGAGATAGTGGGTAATAGACAGGTAGTCACCTTGTCAACATGCACATCAAGCGCATCCACACCGGGGATTTTAAACAACAGCCAAACACTTAAGAGAGAGATAGAAAAAGAGGAAAATTCGAATAATGCATAAGGAAACGGTGATATAAACCTTAATTAAATAGCATATATAATAAGTTGTTTACAAACAAATCCTAGCTAAGTGCACGAGGTCAGGAAGTATAGTTCACGGAATGTCATGAACACAAATATGCTACGGAAATGGAATACAATTGGCTGAAGCCTTGAGTGCAAGTTAATGGAATAGAGTACTGGTAGACATTTATATGAGAAAGGAAAGCATTAAGGCACAAACTGTAAACCCACCACCTGAAATAAAGAGACTTAGCATGCAAGTACGCGGTTAGTAAATCGAATTCAGCGTGCCTACAAACGCTGCGCCGGCTCGCCGTAATTCTCTGCAGGACCCGTCGTCGCTTCTGTAGTGGCCCCAAATGGCACAGCGCATAGCCCACTAGACATTTATATGAGAAAGATAGGCATTAGGAGAGAACCGAAAACCCACCACCTGAAATAAAGAGACTTAGAATGCAACCATGCGGTTAGTAAATCGAATTCAGCGTACCTACAAACGCTGCGCCGGTGCTGCCTACGTTCACTGCTGGACCCGTCGTCGCTTCGGCAGTGGTCTCGAGTGACCTCTCTCATGGCTCACTAGGCCTGCCTGACTAAGGCACTCGCGACCGCATGTTCTACAGCACCACACGCTCGATGTCGATGGAGTACAATTCAATGGTGCTTGCCGCTTCCGCAGCTGCCACTTCTACTCTGCATGCATGAGGGCTTTCTCCTGCACTTCAGCAATTGCCTTCGTGATTAGATCGCGCCATGAACCACGATCAACCGCCTTCGATTCCCATGATCTGCAATCAAGATTAGAACGTGTGAGGCTCACTTTAATCATGTCCTGGTAACGTAACTTTGGTTTCCCCACGTGCCGCTTCCCTATACTCAGCTGACCGTATAAAAGTTGTTTCGGTATCCGCGTCAAATCCATACGGCTCACATGACCGAGCCATCTCAGGTGTCTCAGTAAAAGTATGCAGTCCACTGCATACATCCCACTTCGGCGCAACACTTCCGTGTCTGCAACTCTGGCGCCCCAACCGATCCGCAAAATTCGTCGCAGACACTGCTGATGGAACCGCTCGAGATATCGCACATCCCGCCGGTACATCGTCCACGTTTCACTGCCGTATAGAAGAACGGACAGTACCATGGATTTGTACACCATCAGCTTCGTGCCAATGGTAAGCTGATGGTTGTTCCACACTCGGTACTCTAGCTTCCCGAATGCCGCTGCCGCCTTCGACACGCGATTACGCAACTCAACGTGTAGCTGCTGATCAGTCGACATCACACTCCCAAGGTAGCAGAAGCGGGAGGTGGTTTCCAATACTTCAGCACCAATACTGATTCGCGGCGATATTGAAGATTGCACCTCCGGTGAAGGCTGAAAGAGACAGACAGTTTTGCTTGTGTTGATGGTGAGCCCGAATTTGGCCGCTGTCGAAGCCAGTCATGTGCTGCAACTCATCCGCGCTGTGTGAAAACAACGCACAGTCGTCAGCAAACAGCAACATACGGATAGTTGTCTCACAGACTAGAGTTCTCGCACCGAAACGACGGATGTTCAGCAACCCACCATCAATACGGTGCTCCACACGAACACCGTAAGCACAAGCCGCATCAAAAGCACAAGACAACATTGCATGAAGATAGCTATTAAACAGGGCAGGAGCTAACACACAGCCTTGCTTCACACCAGAGACAACTGCAAAGTCATCAGAGGTCTCTCCACTCAGCTGCACTCGCGCTCGCATACCGCTGTGCAGACATAAAATTAAACTTACAAACTTACGCGGGCAACCAAACTTACCCAACACCAGCCACAATGCCTCGCGGTTCACTGTATCAAATGCTTTGGTGAAATCAACAAAAAGTGAGTACAATGACTGGTGTCGTTCTCTGCACTTCCCCTGCAACTGACGAGCCGCAAACACCATATCTATAGTGCTGCGACCCGAACGGAATCCACATTGCTCTTCCGCCACGTTAGGTTCCACAACCTGACTCACGAGGCGATTGAGCAGGATCCGGGCAATCACCTTGCCCACACAACTCAGCAAGTTGATGCCACGATAATTCGTGCAACATTGCTTGCTACCTTTACCCTTGTACAATGATAGCACAAGGGCATCCTTCAGCTCAGGAGGCACCTCCTCCTCAATCCACACGCGTTGCACCAAGTGGTGCAGCGCAGTCAACAACGCGGGTCCACCGTGTTTCAATACTTCAGGTAGGATCCCGTCACCTCCGGCACATTTGCCGTTTCGCAGCTGAGCAAGTGCTCTCTGTGTCTCATCCAGTGTCGGCGTATCCGCCAGATCCGCCTTCACATTCAGTGTAGGCCAGTCGATCTCTGAACGGTTGTTCAAGAGACAGTCAAAGTGTTTCCGCCAGACCTGCATTATGTCTTTAGTCTGGGTGCAGGTAGCGCCTGAACTACCATCGATCAGTGTCCTCAGCGGCTACAATCTCGGTCCATACACCGCCTTCAAGAAGTCAAAAAATTCCTTGTGTTGGCGGCGTTCGGCGTAGCATTCCATCTGCTTCGCCTTCTCCGTCCACCATGCATTTTTAATGCGACGGAGCTCTCGGGTCAGTGGCCGTCGAAGTTTGCGAAACTGACTCTTCTTCCCCAAGTCACTGGGGTCTGCAACATGTGCAGAAAATGCTGCACTCTTCTCTGACACCAATGCGTCAATCGTCACATTGTTGTCATCAAACCAATCAGGCCGCTTACAGTTTGCGCGCTCGATGGTTTCCTCGGCAGCAGCTGTCACCTGGTCGCGAATGTGGTGCCACAGGTCGCCCACTGTGGCTATGCATTCCACATCACACAGGCGTGCAGTCGTCGCCTTCTCCAGCTCAGTACGTTTCGCCACAGTACCGAGGGAGAGAATGTTAAATTTACGCCGATTCACGGCGGGAGTGCAATACATCGATTTACGAAAATATATGTACAGTTTGGTCCGAACCAACTTGTGATCAGTGCCACACTCAGCTCCACGCAGTACACGTGTCATGCGCACTTCACACATATCACGCTGACGTACGATGACATAGTCGAGCAGGTGAGCGTGACCACTCCGTGGGTGCGTCCAAGTTGCTATATCACTCGCACTCAGTGCAAACCGCGTGTTCGTGATCGTCAGGCCGTGAGTGGCACACAGTGAGAGCAGCCTGTCACCGTTCGCATTCGCTGAACCAATGCCATGCGAACCGATAACATCTGTCCACGCTGATGCATCACGCCCAACTCGCGCGTTGAAATCACCTAGCAGAAATAGTCGGTCACTCCTCGGCACAGACCGTATCACGGAGGATAGCTCAGTGTAGAATTGATCACGCGTGTCATCAGGATAACACATGGTCGGACCGTACGTGCTTATAAAAGTAACAAACTTACCCCTTCCGAGTCGTAGGCGAACAGTCATCAGTCGCCCGCTGAGGCCCGTTGGTTCACCCACCAGCTGGCCATTCAGGCGATCGGATATTGCAAATCCGACCCCATGTTCACGTGGTGCTGAGGCGGCATTCCCCACCCAATAGAATGTGTAGCCAACACCTGCTTCATGTAACTTACCTTGCTCAGCGAGCCGAGTTTCACTGAGCGCCGCAATATCGATGTGGTAGCGCGCCAGCTCCATCGCGACCAGTGCAGTGCGTCGCTCCGGGCGCTCGCTCGAGTTCCGGTCCAGTAGTGTGCGCACGTTTCAGCACCCAATGTTGAGTGCTTTGCGCGCAGGCATACGATTGCATTGGTGCGCAATCGCACGCGAGGTGGTCGTTGTGCTTCGGAGGTTTGCTTGAGGGACTCCACCCGGAGCCTTTGGCTCAATAGCCTGACCCACAAAGCAGTGGGTGGTTTGGAGGTTTGCTTGAGGGACTCTACCCGGAGCCTTTGGCTCAATAGCCTGACCCACAAGGCAGTGGGTGGTTTGGAGGTTTGCTTGAGGGACTCCGCCCGGAGCCTTTGGCTCAATAGCCTGACCCACAAGGCAGTGGAGAGCAGATCCAGCTCGGGAATGTAATTGCAGAGACAGGTTGGGATCTGCTTGACGGCCGTCACACGCAGCCTTTGAGGTTCTGGAACAATTATCATATGTTTTGCGACCGTAGTAGGATACGCACCTGCGACCACGGCCAGACGCAGGTGGGATTTTGGCGGGTTTGCACCAATTTGCCCAGGAGCTGACTGGCTTGAGGCGGGCAGTAGCAAACCATTGAACACCAGGAGGTGTCCTCCCACCGTCAGAGACAATGCGTGGCACTCGTGCTCTACGCCAATCGAGCATTGAGAATATAACCCGTAAACCTGTTGTCTCCCATGGCTAGGTTTTACGGGAAGTGGGCCATCGACCACTTCCTAACCTCCGGAGAGGATGGACTAGGATACTGCCAGGGCGCACAATCCTGACAGGAGAACGACTCGGGTCTTCAGCCAAAGCCTTCGATTAAATGAACACCCGAAAGGCAGCGGGTCTAGCACATGGTCAGTTAGCTGACTCATGCGGATTGGGAGAGCCTATGGTGCGCTGAGGCTGGTGGTGGCTAGATCCTGACAGATGGTCTACCCACTGCTGCTACCGTTGCGCCATAGTCTCATGTCCTGGGCGCCTCTACGTGTGGACAGCTGGGTGGGAGTTAGGTTTCGCCCTGCTCCCTGCTAAGATCCAGGACACCCATCTGCATATATATATATATATATATATATATATATATATATATATGTATGTATACATATTGTTGGCGGCATCCGGTTTCCGATTTGCTTGTCACTGTGGCCCCCACCCATCCGCAGGTAAACTGGGTTACCTGTGATAACTTCCCTTTCTGAGCTACCACCGGATTAACCTTTATGCGCAAGCGGTTAGCCGTACCTACCATCTACCTCGCACCGTCAGTTACCCCACTGCAAAAAGAAAAGTGCATACTAAACCTTGTTTAATGCCGTGTCACTGCATTTCAGGTGCACGTTTAAGTATCCACAAACCCTTTCTCAGTGTTCTTGCTTCCTGGGTAACCATCCTGCGAGCAGCTCACCCGCAAGGTGGGGTAGATTTCCGAGCGCTTCCAATTGCATATGTCACCGGAGCATCTACCTATGGTGCTGCATTTACGAAGCCCCTTCCTTTTTGCCCATCTGAAGCATAACCTCAACGTGTATGTTTGATGCAATGACGCCTGTGGCACACGCCTCCCGGAGTACCATTTCCACTAACCAGGTTGGAAGCGTCCATGTCCATGAAACCGATTGAAATAGCACAGGTTAGTAACCTCTTATGAACGTAATACACCTACTCACCGTGTGCATTTCCCCCATATGATGTTCCGCTTCACCACTGGTATACACCGACGGACATAACGTTTACTGCACAAACTAATTTCAGGGTACATATCTATGTATCGTATGTCACCTTTGCCCGTATATGTTTGAGTAACGGGTACATCAACCATGTCATTTTGAGTATCGTCGCAATAGCCCAAATGTACCAATCGTCCCTTAGTACTGCGTTCCAGGGTCTTCACAAGTTCACTCCATCGACGTGCACATGTTGTGTTCCGTATGCATGCCCCTTTTATGTGCATTTCCATTCGTCTCACGCATGCTTACCTGTTACGGGAAGTTCACATTTCTTATACCGATATATGGTTCCTGCTTGAAGGGAATGGTTGCACCGGCAAGATGGCCCTTGCACCCTCCAACATTGCTTCCGTGCCAAACGCCTGCAACGTATCTCCGCTCAGCATGCGCATTTCGTGTGCTTTCATCCACCTGCACCCCCACATGCCTCCAGGGCATATTCATTTCCGTTTCCCTTGCATGCATGCTGTGTCGTTGTGACTGCTGGTGGTGATGCTTTGAAGATAATCAACACGGGAATGTATTTTGCAAAACTGAATTTGGTGCAAAAGGAGTAACTACAATGACAAACGCATCCCATGTGCATCGTTGAACACATACAGAAAAAGATATCCGAAGCTGACGATTTACAAATAGAGGGCATTTTCCATTCCCGTATTGATGTGTTAATAAAGGGGTCATTTGAAATCATCATACACTGATTATCATTTATTATTTGTGTCAGTAAAGAAGATTATTCACTTATGTAAAAGTTGCCCAGCTAGGTCGATTTCGTTGCGAAGTGCTAAGCAAACAGGAATAATTTGGAGAGCCTTCATATGCCCAGATAAATATATCAACTGCATGTAATAAGGCATAGGCTATCGCAGTATGCTGCAATATATATATATGTATGTATACATATAGAGAGAGAGGGAGGGAGGGAGGGAGAGAGAGAGAGCGCGTATCTTTGTACGCCGTGTCATGGACCTTT